TAAATTGACCTCTTCTCAAATGCTACACTCCCAGTTAATCCAGAGAAGCTGAAACACTGTACAGCAGACTTTAACTTGCACACCAGCTTTATCTGTTCTGATAAACTACAGTCAAACACAAATCATTCAAGCTGATTCAAGAGCATAACAAAAGGTATTTCAGCAAAGGCTGGTGCAATTTGTGACTTCAACTTCAGCTCCAATGAAGGCACAACTAAAAGCCATGAAGCTTAAAATGTACACATGTATATGTATGAAGAAACATATCACAATTGTACTACAATTTTTTTGTAATACATATTTGGTGAAATTCAGCCACAGCAGGCAGCTGTTTTCAGTGAAAAAAGCTCTATGACCCATGTGTACAATACTTGCTCAGCTCCAAACTGCAGAGCTGGTGAACACAGTGCAGAATTTAACAGTCGAAAAACAGAACTAAACTTAGATGTGAATATTGGACTTACACATGCAAAGTGGCCAGAAAGACGACTCTCCAAATGAATGATAATGTTGCTCCCGTAACTCCTGGACGTGTAAATTAGCAACTGTCTGCTAGCATTTTTGCCATGTCAACTTAAAAGAAGAAGAGGCAAGAAATGTGACAATCATGCTCTCAATTGGCCACAGGTGTGAAAGAAAGGTAGCGTTTCCTTTTGTGTGCCTTAAAGGAGAGACTTTCTGAGAGTTCACGCACATCATTCCCCTTTTGCACGACATCAGGACATCGTGCAGTTTAATACAGACAAGAGAAGGCTTCAAAGGTGGACTTTTCATCAACCCTTCGAGCGTGGCCACAGGTGTACACACTTGTGCCTTCAGACGTGGTCGGACAACACTTTGTACGACCTAGTTTGCTTCAAGCACAATCAACCCTTTAACCCTCTGAGCTGCAGTAAACAAAAATACCATGTTTTCCACCTCTGAAGCAAAAAACAACAGCCTATGCTACTTAAATAAACATGATAAACCCTGTCACGTATACTTGAATATAAATGAATAACAACACTTGTTTTGACCTGCCCTCTTTTCTGTTACACGAATTACATAATTGGATCACATGACATGTTCCATCATGTGTCTGCCTCTCTTTAAAAGCCTAACAAAAAAAAAAAAAAAAGGCATCATGCACGTGGATCTTTCCAGTGTATCCAAAGGATACTGCCGGCAAATGCATAATCGTCTTAATGGGAACCAGTATCAACACTTCATCAGATCACAATCTGGGTCCTTAGGTCAACAATAGAGATGGAAAACAGCGATGTCGTAGAGGAATCTCCCCTTACACACGGCACTCGATGGTGATCAGGGGCCGGTTAACGGGGAAGGCTTTGCGTGTGTCTGACGTCATCGTGGTCCTCATCATAAACCCCGGGTGGACAACTCATTTGTCGTTAAGGGCAATAAGAGGACTGACGACCTGAACGCTCTCAAACTCAGAGGATTTGAGGAAGGTTAGACGGCTCTCAGGAGTCACTCCTTTGTTGCACTCGTGAATTAACTGTTGAGCGTGTCTTCCTTTGTTCTCATTCATTTCTAATCAGAGTTGCTTTTCTGTTGTTCATAATTCAGTTTAGTGGGGAAAATCCCACTAAACAATACATGAATAATACAAATAATACATGAAGCTGATATGCAGTTCCATCCAGAGCGAGTAGCCCAAGCCATATTACGTATGCTGCACTGGTGCCCAGGCATTGATAAAACGTTATTTTTACAAGGGGAATGTTCCAACAGAAGAATCACAGCCCACACCAGTACGTGCCTATACCAAAATATCTCACTCTGACCTGAATTCATGTTGCTGTTTCTATTATTTTGACCGGTGGGCACACACTTTGTACAAATGACCTGATGTCCTCGTGGCATATAAAGCAATTTGCGCATTATTTCTTTTTTAAGTTTATTGTAAAGAGTGCTACAGTACAGCATGGTCAGATCAGTATTAATCCAAAACTTCAACACGGAGCTACAACTTGTGGTTGCAGGTGAACAAGTGAAGTTTCTGACATAAATCGCTGTTACTGCTTCATTTAAAGCTTTCGGACATCAGCAACAAATGTCTAAACCATCACAGGATCCTGGGTTCCTATGCAGTTAGAAATGGAGGGAGAGATCGATCATGAATGGGACATAAGTTGAGACATTAATAGTCCTGGGACTCACTATACTTAGAGGTAGAGTGGTGATACTGGACCATAGGGTCCTGATGTCAAATTTGTAATGTTAAAATGCCGGCCATATAATCTGCCCAGAGAATTGTTTGTGTTACTGATGTATATATTTTCCTCCTGAAGTTTTTCTAGTGTTGAAAATGGGCTGCAACTGCATTTTGTTGTGCATCCCTATGTTGCATAATGACAATAAATGATCCTTGAATCCTTGAATCGTAGGAGGTATACTGGAGATGTGAAATTAGACAAAATTAATTAAAAACTGCAGTTCACATGTTCTGTTCTCATCAACGCTGTTTCCAGCTGCAGAACGCGTCTGTTTTGAGTAGAACAGCACTTATAAACCCACAGTACCCAGCACCAAACAACAGAGAGACGACACAGCAAACCAGCTGGTGAATGTAACGGCGCTAAAGAGACAGATATCTGATATTTAGTTGATGGGAGAGCAAAAACGGAGCGACGGGAAAGTAAGTATTGGACTTTATATTCATCGAAAGGCCAAAAACATGACTACAAACAAAACAGATGAATGCTAATGTGCCTCTGAGTCTGTTAGTTGAGTAAAGAGTCAACATTTTGTGTGGTGGAATAATTCTGCCCTCAAGTGACTAAAAAAACTGTAAATACAGCTGTAAAACAATAATTGCATTAATCTGGATATGCTGTCGATATGCTTTGCCGCATGATCCATTAAACCTGTCATACATGTCGGCTCCGATTTCCAGCTTTCGGTAATATACATAACTTGAGTTCACTTAGCAAATTGCTAGTGTAACTCAATGGAAACACGATTAGCATATTAACCGCGTCCAAAAACAACCACCACGTTGTTAACTATTGATGGCGTGGGAAATGTTTTGCAGTGACAAAACTTTGTTCCAACAAGTTCATGAAATTGGAATTCATTTGGAATGAACGTGTTCAAGAAAAGTTCGTCGTCCACTCTGAAGAACAGTATGTGAAGCCAGATGTTCCAGTATTATGGTTTATAACAAATACTACAATACCCTCTGTGCATTATGTTTCCTGCATCCAATTAAATATAAACAGTTGATTCTTCTTCTTCTCTTCGCTTCCTTGCATCACTGCCCTCTGCAGTCACCAGTAATGTGTTTCACATCAATCACTCAGACTCGGGGCGCATGTCAGTACAACAAGTGGTACAAACAATACTGCCTACAAACAATGCACTCTACAGCACCAACGGTGGTCAAAGGCTCTGCAAGGACCCTTTAACTGTCACTGCAAATGAACAAGTACTTGAGATATTTACATCACTTTTTTTAAAGTCCAGTATGTTAATAGAACTTCTGATGTGCACCATCAGTGTGCACATTAACAAAAAACATGTATTTTTGATGTTTATATAACTTTTCACAATATTGCAAAATAAATTAAACAATTGACGATTTAAGATTGCAAATGTGTACTTATATATTATCCCGGTATATCTTTACTTTTAATATATAGATGGCTAAGGATTCATCCAAAAAAAAGATGGTAAAGTAACAACCATAGCCACAAAAAGTTCAAATCATAACCAACCTTAGTTCAAGAAAAATCCATCCACAAAGAAGCTAATAACAATATGTTGCAACATAAAATAATATTTCTGTCACGCTCACGAGAAATAATCCAGTACCCACAATGCTTTGCAAGCCATTCAGGGAACATATAGTGAGCATTTATCTTCACACTGTAGCCTGCTCATTGCTGGCCACACATGTGTACTTAATGTTAGTCCCCTCTCCTGTTGGATTCCTGTCCTCCGCCTGAGCAACACTTACAAACTTCACTTAATGGCTCCGGCACAGCATTGAATGGGCCAATATTAACCACTATATGCTTATATATTGTATAACATAGCCTCATACTCCTGTGGGGTTGGGGTTAGTGTGTGTGGCTCTCACAAGTGACTTTTTTTGTCATGCTATATCTCAATTATATTCCCTCTTGGGGCCTACAGTGTGTTGACGGTACACAGACAACTCGGTGCTGAGTTTATGGCGACCTTATCGCACTTAATGGTATTTGTTTAAATCTCCCGAGGCATCACCATAACATTGGTACAGGCCCTTAACGCTGTGCTCTGTCTGCAGTGCTCAGTGGTGAGTTTTCTGTGACCTTATTGCACTTTATTGCATTTTTTTGTTATGTCCCGTAGCAGCCTCTCACTGGTGAGGTGTGTGTGTGTGTGTGTGAGTGTGTGTGTGTGGGGGGGGGGGGGATTAGACTAGTTTAAGTGGTCTAAAAAAAACCGGACGGTCTGGTATCTCGAGCACAACACCGGCATATTATATGGCCATTACGTAACGCAATGGAAGACCCCACGGGCCAATTAAAGCGGATAACCATATTTTCTAACAATTTCAGCAATCCGCTGCGCCTTTGCGTAACAGCAGGGCCTGGATGCGCCCGCGAGGACAGATGCGCAGGCTGGCATTGGTAATGGATTGTAAACACGGGCTGCCTAGGCCTCGGCTGCCTCAGATGTTATTCTGATGGAGAAGAGCCACCTTCTCTCCCCGCCACCTGCAGAATGCGCAAGTCTCTAACAGCCCACTGCAGCCCCGTAGCCTCCTGATTTATTGCACTGCACAAGACAGATAGCAGCATAGGCTTTAGCGGAAATCTTTTTTGCACATTTATGCAATTGGCAACACCGACAAAAGCAGAAAAAAAGCAGTGTTGAAAAGGCACTGGAGAGAGAGAGAAAAAATGCATAGTGGCCTAGAAATACATAGCAGACGGTGACAGCCCCCCCGTATTGATTTTAGATGAAGATGCACAGCAGAAATTCAGTCATTCCGCTCAAATGGTGCTTACCTCCAGCGTTCGTATCTCTTTTTGTGTCAAGTCGTTGGATGTGGCACATTTGGTCCGTAAACCCTCCAAACTAGAAATGCTTATGTCTATCATATTTTGCACCAACTCGCACTGCTGCAAGGCTTTCTGCAAACTAAGATGCTGCTCCTCGCTTTTTGTCATCTCCTCGTTCATAGTTTTGCGAGCAGTGGTCGTTATTTCCCCCTTTGCACTTAAAAAAAAAAAAAAAAGAATTCAAATTTAAAATAACAAAAAAAAACAACAACAAAAAAAAAATAATTCAGAAACGAAACGTGGAGAAGCCCACTGAACAGAGCAACCTGCGAAACGCCATGAAAAAAAAAAAAGATGTTGCAGGTTTACAGACGGGGTTTGAGCCGTGAGAGAGTCGACTCCATTGCAACAACAAATCCTCGTAGTTCCTGCTGTTTCATCAAGGTGTCTCTGTGGTTGGAGGCTAAATCAAACACAGTACGAAGATACCGAGCGGGACTACACGGTTTGCCACAGCATCCATTGGGTGCCCCCTTCGTTTCAAATGGATGTTTAGAAGAAGAACAAAAAAAAAAAAAAAAAAAGAGAAGCAGTTCAGCGCATCATAAGCAGACGTATCGGGGGTGGTGGTGGTGGTGGGGGGGGTGGGGGGGGGAAGCCTGGTGGTTTTAAAGGTGCTGATGTGAGGATTGGATGCAGGTACTCCCTGTCTCCCTTGGCAGCAGCTGCATCCCGGTTCGCTCCCACCACACCGACATGTTTCCTGTCAATCAAACCCACAGCAACAGCAACGGCATCGCATTGCCCAGGCACCGCCGTGAGGGGTCGCTCTCGCGAGATCAACGGTGTAAGTGCGGTGGGCTCGCGCTGCTTCAGCCGGTCTCAGGGCCTGTTGGAGGAGCAGAAATTAAAACACTTTTTTAGGATAATCGCACTTAGATGTTACATGTATAGTCTACACAAACACTGCCTTCCAAATCGCATACTTTTTACTTTTAGTACATCCTGCAGCTGCCCTTACAAAGTGTGTACTGTAGCTTGCAGTATATGCACTCAATTTAGACATACTACTTTATCATAATTTCACATTTGAACTTTTACCTGTTTGCTCACTTATCCACAGCAGATTGAAGGAAGGATGGTGGGTCAGAACAGCCAGACAAAGTATGCTGGCTTGCATACTGCAACTAACATCCTGGTATTTTTGGTATACTGCATGTGACATTATGTTGGTAAGTTAATCCATTCTGGCATACTAAATAGTATGGTAGTACGGGTATTGGAATGCTATTTCTATAACAAGCATGAGTTTATCCGTTTTTTTTGTCCTCGTGACTTTTACAGTGATTTTATGTAACTTTTCATCTTTAATTTATTGATAACATATGCTAAATTTGAAAGTCTTATCATATTTGGATGCATTTTAACCATTCATTGTCTACCTTTTTAGAGATTTGTGTGACTGTTTCTGTTGTTGTGTGTGACTGGCTGTGTTTTGTTGTGTATCTCTGTTCTTATTGTATTCTCAGGTCTCTCTTGCAAAACAAATCTTGATCTCAATGAGTTTACCTGTTTAAAAGAAAGGTTGAACATGTTGTTTCGTACGACAAAGTGTTTTTATTGTTGGATCATTTGTCATGATAACTAACGGATCGCAACAGTATCATCTTATAATAGGACTTTATATAATCCTTATGGTTCTGCCAATTTGCTCTCTGGGATGTTTGAACTCTACACAGCAATGCGCAACTATCTGCTAGAGAGAAAATTAAACAGCACATTAAGCGGAGTCTCGGTTCAATCATTTTAATTTTAACAATCATATCAATTTTTTTCCAATATGCTCCCCAAATGTATTTACATAGTGGACCAGAAATATTGTATACGCTTCTTTAAAACTGGAGATGTGTGACATGTTAGTATCTTTCTGTTGGACAGTGGGCATTCGTGTTGTCACCGAGACCCCGCCCATAGCAGCTTTCAAAGCGATCCGATTGGTTGTACGCCGTGACGTATGACGCACGTTTTTGTTGTGGAGCGCGCCAAAGTGGAAGTGCTAAAAACGCTGAAAGTATTTAACCCAGCTTTGAGCTAAATCCACACAAGTCTGCGGGACATGGCTTCTACGAGCAGAGTCCCGTTACAGGCCATGAACCTACCGTGGTGAGTGGAACGTTGTTGTTTATCAACAACAGGTTGAATTAGCAACTGCTAGCTAGCTAACCTAACTTTACCTACGAACGTTATGGATTCTAGAGAGCAGCTCGCCGTACTAACGCTTTACTTCTAGATAATAACGTTACATTACTCATACGTGTAAAACAAACATTAGCTGCATCTTAAGCCACGTGAGCTTCTTTTTAACTCTGCATAAATAATAGCTAGTCAGTGCATCCAGCGTTGCCACTTCAACCAACTAGCAAGTGTTGCAGTGTCTGCTGAGAAACTGTTATAAACAACACGTATTTAATATTTCTCTGCATGCATATTGCAGATATATATAGATGCCGAATTAAAGAATGGTACCCAAGCATTTGATAGCTCTAATAAGTCAAAACGTAAAGCACATATATACTCAAACATATAAGTAATCTGGTTTAAAAGGACTAATCCTTCATGAGGTTCGTTTTGTAATTTATACCATTACAACGAGACATTTTGGGGTTAACAAGTTACTTAAACTTGTGCTTTTCTTACAGTAACATTTAGTAATTGGATGTATTTATTATTGATAACATTATTGATGGAAGATGTCTTTCTTCTCCGTATTCCAGGGTTGAAAAGTACCGACCGCAGAAACTTGATGATCTGATCTCGCACAAAGATATTCTGAGCACTGGTAAGTATGAGGACTGAAAGAATATATATATATTCCTCATTATTATAGATCTTCAATAACTCTTAGTAGTACATACATATTGAATACACAGTTGTAAGATAATTACTGTACTATTCTCCGTGCGGGGATAACGGTCAGTGTTGCTGGCTCTTGTCTTTGTTGTCTCCTTGTGTTTTAATGAATAATTCCATTCAAAAGGTCATTTTCAAACTGTTTCCTTGTTTTAAAACTGTTGTGCTTCTCTTCAGTCCAGAAGTTTATCAGTGAGGACAAGCTTCCCCATCTCTTGTTCTATGGCCCCCCTGGAACCGGCAAAACCTCCACCATCCTCGCCTGTGCCAAGCAGCTGTACAAGGAGAAGGAGTTCAACTCCATGGTGTTGGAGGTATACTGAACGTTTTCTGGTCTATTTGGTCTCTGGTAGTTTAGCGACAACACCACGTGGCTCTTTGATTTGATGACTTGTTTTGATTTGCAGCTAAACGCATCAGACGACAGAGGTATCGATGTGGTGCGAGGTCCCGTTCTGAGTTTTGCCAGCACCCGGACCATCTTCAAGTAAGACAAAAGAAAATCTATGTTTACTCCACAACTTTACGGGCAATTATTTGAACGGCCACCTTTTCGCCCGTCGCTCTTGTCCTCCAGGAAGGGCTTCAAGTTGGTGATACTGGACGAGGCCGATGCCATGACCCAGGATGCCCAGAATGCATTGCGGCGAGGTGAGCCATCTGTTCGGCCGGGCGGTGCCCGCTGTGAGCCGCACGGCTCACTGAGCAGCCACACAATTTGCCCACTGGTGAATTACAGCATATCTGCTTGTACACGCTGAGCAGCTCTGAAGAGCAAAACCTATCGAAAGATTTGGTTTTTAACTGTTAACCTGGAACACGTTTTACCATTTTTACATAATCATTTACAGACATATGTAGTTTGTTGGTGAAGTAAAATAACAGGAACATATAGGAAGGTGTGGCTGTTCTCAGCAAGAGTTCAGAGAATCAAGTTATATATTTTTCATTTTGAGTTCTTCGATACAACTTTGTATTTTTCCCCTTTTTGTAGTTACATTGATTTCTAACTTGTGTTTCTGCTGCTCTCTCTCTCTCTCTGTCTCTCTCTCTCTCTCACTCTCTCTCTCAGTGATTGAGAAGTACACAGAAAACACTCGGTTCTGTCTGATCGGCAACTACCTGTCCAAGATCATCCCCGCTCTGCAGTCTCGATGCACCAGATTTCGCTTCGGCCCGCTGTCCCCGGACCAGATGATCCCTCGGCTGGAGTATGTTGTCCAGCAGGAGAGGTGAGTGTGTGTGTGTGTGTGTGTGAGAGAGAATGTTTCTTCTCCATCTACTGTTAAAACAATCTGAGGTAGAAGAGATTAGATGGTGCTGTGCTGTGTATTTTAGTGTTTTTGTTTACTTGATCCTATTGGCACTCATTCTGATGTGTGTTATTCACAGAAAACTGGTAAAACTTTATCCAAAACTATTGTCACCCTCTGTTGTTCTCATGCTGCTGGTTTGGGTTTCACAGGAAACGTGTTGTTATTTTACAGCACAGAGAGGACAAAACCAAAAGAAGCACAGATTTCCCCAAACATAGTTTTCTTGCTGTGACTGATGATGAAAATTAAAATGTTGAATTTGTACCATCAGCAAGAAATTGAAGAAAAACAATCAATGACACTGGCAATAATGTTTGTTTGTTTCAAAATGCTACATTTATTAAGAATAGATGGATGAAGCTTTATGTTGATCTCACTGTTGACTGAATGTTTTTGTGGCAGTATTGACATAAACCCAGGAGGAATGAAGGCCATTGTGACCTTATCATCAGGCGACATGAGAAGATCGCTCAACATTCTGCAGGTACGACCAGTAGCTCATCCTGATCATTGTGCTTCATCGTGTTGTGTCCCTTTTCACGTAAAGGTTCAGTGTTTTCATTCATATTGTTTTAAAACGGTTTAAAAACAACTTTTTACACTTTCTTTTTAATATTTAATCATGGTAGAAGAGTAAAATGTGCCGTCTGTATTCCAACCGTGTGATCTCAGAGCACCAACATGGCGTACGGGAAGGTGACGGAGGACACGGTGTACACCTGCACAGGTCACCCCCTCCGCTCAGATATCGCCAACATCCTCGACTGGTCCCTCAACAAAGACTTCACCACAGCGTACAAGCGTATCCTTCAGGACACGTCACTCTGTTCGATCATCTATATTTATGTTCCCTAACTGGTGAAATGTCTACCAGTGTGTTCATTATCATTCTGTACAATTCAGCACAAGCTAAACATCTTAAAGTTTCTGCAAATTCAATGTTTCTTTCTTGCCACGGATAACACTTGATGGAAGCTAGCTGTAGCTAAATAATTACATCTACCAGTTGATAACTTAGGCTGATAATGCAGCAACACATCGACAAATATTACCCTTGCCACGCATGTTTTCATTGGCTAAATCATTTGTGTTGCTGCAACGCTTTAACACCTCATGCACAGAAATCCTTCAGCTGAAGACGTTGAAAGGTTTGGCCCTGAACGACATCCTCACTGAGGTTCATCTGCTCATACACAGAGGTGAGTTTTCACCCAAGAGAAAAAGGTCATATTTAGTTTAAAACCAGGAAGCTGTGTTTGAATGAGTTTTGCATATAAGAGCGATTACTGGGGGTTAAATCCCACTGCACCCTGAGGACGATTCAAGTGTTTAAAATCTCTCCATTTAGATGTTTTTAAGCTCTTTTAGCTTCAGTGGTTGCAAGTTTTTTGTTTTTTTTTGTATGCAAGGGCCTGTGCATGATGACTAATTTAAAGGTGTGTGTGTGTGGTTACATGTTGACTGTCTCATGACTTTACAATGTCTAGAAGAACCTCCAGTTCTTCCATTTAGATTTTTTTAAGATGATGAACCTGTTTGCTTTATTGGCACACGGTCTGTTGGACTTGGACGTCTTTCAGAAGTTAAGTGTTTGACAAGTATCTGGATTATTTTCTTCTTTTCCAGTGGACTTTCCTCCGGCTATTCGGATTGGTCTGCTCATCAAGTTGTCTGACATAGAGTACGTGAGATCATTTGTGCTCCCTCTCGTAAACTAATATGAAACGGACACACTGTAATATCGTAGTGAAGTGTTGCTTTTGGACTTATCGTGTGTCGTCTCCTCAGACACCGGCTCGCCTCAGGAACCAATGAGAAGATCCAGCTGAGCTCCATGGTTGCAGCGTTCCAGGCGGTCAGAGACATGGTGGTCAGCGAGGCCTCCTAGATACACTAACCGCTGTACGCCACAACGAAGTTCTGTCTCTCTTGAATGCGAACCAACGAGGAAGAGAAACTTCTCCCTCAAATTCCTTTGCGACTATCATTACAATTTTGAATGATGAGAAATTGTTGAAATCAGTTGAGTTGAGCTTATTTAGAAAGAAACCCGATGCCCAGAAGTGTCCGCTGCACGATTGCCCACCAGTGCTGATGCACAGCGAAGAGAACCGGACGCTCGCAGCTGTTGCATCTGCATACTAACTGAGGGCAGCGGGAGGCAGTCGTTTGTAACTAGTATTAAAAAAAGATGATCATTTGGTCACTTAAAATGTGGACTTGGAAAACTGTTAATGTAGTCACCAGTGGAGGATCAACTTACTGTCACCAATCCACAATGACGTAAAAGATATCAAAGAAATGTGTTTGAATCTGTTTAATAAAAGTATTTCCTATATGTCGAGCTTTTGTTATCGTATATTAACATGTGCAGTAGTATGTGCCGTTTTATGAGAAACACAGGAATTAGACGTGTATACATTTGATATTTACACAATAAATTAATAGTATAAAATTGTGATATTCAAGTCAAATAAGCATGTGAACATGATGTGCATCATCTTACAATCTTAGTGCAATAAATGGAATCCTTAATGTAGAAATGCTGCATCTATAGTAGATTATGTAAGAGCTGCATCCTGAGCTGTGAAAACATCTCAATCGGCAAACAAAAGGAATACGTTTTTAAAAAAAAAATGATTATGCGTGACAATCACTCGCTGTAAATGTCAGTTGTTGCATTGTGTTAATGTTCCTATTTAACCCTCCCAGTCCTCTTCGTCTGAGGAGCAGCAGGTCTTGAGGCAGGTCTTGAGGGGGATGTCTCTGTAGGTGAGGTACTGGAGGATCCTCTTGGGGAGGGGCAGCGGCTCCATCTGGTGCGTGGAGACCGAGTGGCGCAGGATGGATCGGCACAGGTGGCACAGGCTGGGCACCGTCCTGGGCGCCTTCCAGAACCTCACGTGGCCGTCTCTGGTTCTGTGACAGAGGGGGGGGTGGGGGGGGGTGGTTAGTGTCAGTCATGTGGTGTCAAAGACGGCTTAATGCACCGCAACTTAGGAAAACATGCAAACTAGAAGAGGACGACTCGCTTACGCTGAAGATTGTAGGTGTAAAATGTTAACTTTTGAGATTATGTTTAGGCTAAATCATTTGCGTTTGGAGCATATGAATGGCTGGCATTTCTGAATCCCGAATTCAGCGTCCATAAGCTAATATTTCTAAAGCCACCTTCTAGGTCCACAAGCAGTGAGAGTTTCATATTCAAATATTATTAGTAGGAGTATTTTTGTTACCCTGTGGCGACCACTCCCCCCTGTGGATGGTATTTGCAGCAGAGTCCATTAGATTCTCGGTCCACCTTCGTCTGCATCTCCATCCCTTTCTGCCCCGGCTCCCAGATCCGGAGAGCTCTGCGAACGCAACACATCTGTCTGAAATCATTTTGTCCAGTGCAGGAAGCATTTAGATGATGACATTATATTAAAGATGGATGAGATGGGAGCTGATAACAGACTCACCTGTCGTCGGTCACCATCGCCAAGTGCAACCCGTTGGGAGAGAACTGTACTGCTGAGATTTGGTTTTGCCCGTAATCTTCAAAATAGTCTCTGTGGAAAAAGTTAGGTTGGAGTTTTACTGAGAAGACTAGAGATGCTATTTAGTATTTACTGTTTTCACGTGATCCGAGATGCATTTTTCACCACGGTTCAGGATATATTAGTTTAAAGTACATTTAGAGCATAAAAACTGAGTGTAAACCTACACCAGAGTGGCCAGTTTCTGTGCGGTGTACGGGTCCCAGAGGTCGATCCACCAGCTGGAGCCACTGAAGGCCGCGGTGGCGAGCAGCGCCCCGTCGGGAGAGAAGTCACAGGAAGACAGGAGGTACAAGGTCTTGCGGATCCCTCCAGCCAGGTTCCTGATGAACGTATAAGACCGCAGACTCCACAGACACACCATCTGATGAAGTGAAATCACACAAGGAGTCTTCATGCCTTGCTGCAAGGACTGCTTTTAATGTGGAACAACGAGGGATAATTCCGGCAGTTATTGCAACGCTAGAAAATCTAGTGATTTGGATCTCAACAATGTACGGACTGAATGTCAACAGGACAGGCTGGAGCACGCAGCAACACAGTTTACAGTGTAAATGTGATCTTAAAGTCCGCTAATACACAATGTTAAGCGGCCTGCTTTGTCTTTGCAAATGAGAAGGTGTCAAATTAGCAGTTTGACAGGAGTGGGAAGAGCTCCCCGGTGCTCCAAATGTCTCCACGCAAAGAGAACAAAGAAGCAAAGCTAAGCTGAACTTGGGAGCCACAGACTGAGCCAAAGCTCTGCACTGGACAGAAACGTCTTAAATGATAGATGTGACTTAGTTAAACCCATCCGGACCTTCAGTTTAATACGTGCCTGTCAAAAACACTATTTAAAAAAAGTTAATGCAAGTAAAATGAGAAGCCATTAAAAAAGGAAATGCTGTTTGTGGGTTGTAATGTCTGGCTTTGCCTTGAATATGAAACATACTTTTACAATGACAAAACTCACTCGGTCAAATCTGCCGACAGACGCAATCATGCTGCAGTCTGAGGACACGCAGCAGCAGCTGATCCAGTCTTTATGGCCCGAGAGCACCTGCACCTTTTTACCTACAACAGACAGAAACCAAAGCCTAACTGAACCGAACGAGACACAATGCAAAAAAATCATCACTGGATACAAAATAAAAACGTTCACATAATCAGCTCCTGGAGCGGCGGAGAATGCGACTCGTACGTGTGAACACAAACATTTGTTGGCTTTGACCTCGTACATTCAAACGGCACGATGACGAACCTCAGGGGCGAAGTGACAAATACACAGGGCAGGAACATGATGAATGCACACCCCTAATGCTCATTACCCACGGTTTGTGAATGCATAACATGAGCCTTTAGACTGCTTTCCAACATTAATGGCAGCCACTGGTTTCAGTCAATATCAACACAGTATCACACTATTTGCAGAGCCTTGAAAGCTGTTGGGTAACCCCCCCACAGTGAGCCTTCAATGGCATTTATGTTTGACCGGGGTGCGTTCAAGGATGCTCCGACATTTGACAGTTTCATCAGTTGCCGTCAGTGAAGCCTCGATGCACAATGTGACATTCGATACATAAGATTTGAGCTGGAAAGATCGTTACAGAAGCTAAATGTCAAGTCTCAAATGTCAACGTTGGGTTTCCCTTTATGTGTTTGAACACACCAACAAGGAGAGATGATGTTACTTTGACAAAAAAATTAATAATAATAAATGTGTTTTGAGGTGGATTAGCAACCTCAGTGGGCTGATTCTCGTACCTCGTTGATATTAAATGAAACCATTGGCTGCCTGAAAGGCTCGGTATCAATGTTAAAACATCGGATATGCTTTCGATGCTCTACAGTAACGTACTGTACAGCTGGTAGTTAATGGGCTGAACGTGCAAACAAGTTTAACGAACAAAAATAAAGTAAACAGAACAGTTTCATTATGCAATTCAATAACATCCACCCTGAATGTAAACAACCACTTCCTCACAAATTAAACAGTATGTTTGCGTTGCATTTTGATAAGTAAACACTCAATAGTCGTATCAATAAAGACTGTTTGTGAACACCACACAGAATTGTGTTAGCACAAGAAACATTACTGAAACAGTTGTAGGATTTAGTGGTTGAGGAGTCTGGAGTTCTCTCTCTCTCTCTCTCTCTCTCTCTCTCTCTCTCTCTCTCTCTCTCTCTCTCACACTCACACTCACACTCACACACACACACACACACACACACACACACACACACACACACACACACACCTTTCTGAGCCAGGTCCCAAATCCTCAAAGTCTTGTCCCGAGAAGTCGATATGAGTGTGAGCGTCCCGTTCTGAGGGAAGACCAGGTCCCTCACGACGCCTTCGTGGCCGTGGAGGTCAAATACAGCATCACCTGAAAACACACAACAAGAAGCGTTTTAAAGATCAGCTGGCAACGGGGACGTCTCCATCCGCAGAAATCAGGCCCTCACCTGTTAACACGTTCCAGATTTTGATCACCCCGTTCTCCAAGCCTGTGGCCAGGAGCAGGTTGTTGTTTCCTTTTGATGATGGTTTGGGTGGCCGGGCCGATGCAGCTGATTTTGGGGGTCTGGGCCCGAAGGCGAGGCCCCACACTGGATGACCACAACTGAAGCTCTTGTCTTCTCGGTTGGTCTCTCCATTCTCACTGTCTCTGTGGGTGAGAGGAGCATCAAGTAAGCACATACCATAAAGATATCTATAGAAAATGTAATAAACCATAAAAATCAAGTCAAATTCATCTTTTACTTTGTGTATTGTGCGTTTAATCTAATTTTTGTCAAATTAATTACACTCACAGTACGAGAGTCGGGAGGCAGAGAGAATCCGTAATCATAAATGTGAATATGAAATGATTTAAGAGGCGCTGGCTTAACATATGCATTATTAATACATCAATATCTCATTTTTAAATATCCCACTTATCGTTAATACCGGTATTTTCTTACAGACTTTGTTCCAGTATTTAAATTTCAATGGAAAAAGAAAAGGAGCTTACAGTCATTTGATTTGCTTTATATTGCTTCTGCTACCTCCATGCTATTTGTTTATGTATTGGAAATTGTTCAGTGTCTGAAGTTGGCACTGATTCTGATTCTTCGGCTCGCTCACTTATTCTTTGATCACATTTTTTTATCTTACTTTAAACTACTAATTTAAGTAAGTATTGAATACATTGAATATGGAGCAGATTCACATGTTTTGTTGAATTTAAAAAGAGTTTTATGGGATTGTTTTAATATTTGGTACCTAAATGTAGATGTATTACATAAGGTGTACAAAGTGCCAAGCATATTACGTTGAGACACTTTAAATTATTAATATATGAATAATTAAATCAATAAATATTTAATTCAGCTATAAAACTGTGAAGTAATCCAATAAAAACTCTGCACATCATAATGAAATGCTATTTTTAGTCATGCTTCTTTTCACTAGCAGTTTATTGTTGTATATTTATTTTTATGTGATTCCAGCAGTTTTTATTTTAAAATGTCATTTTTCCCTTACATACCATTTAATTTCATAATGCCACTTTTCATCACCAAGTTTCTGACTTTGAAGACAAACATGGCGGTTATTCATGTTGTTTCAGTCTGGGTGAATAGACACCTTATTACTAAATTGACTCATGGGCTTTGATTATATGTTGCACAATGTTTTGTATATTTGTGAGTCATTGTGGCAAAGCAAAACGTCTAATTCTATGGTTGTATTTCCACTCTTTTATTTCAGTTGTAATGGGTCTAATAACAACAGGTATTAACAGATGCATAATGTGGCTTGATTTTTCACACGGATAAACAGCCACCATAAGTATAATTTTTAACGCAAACTCGAATGTACGAGCGACACCTGAATGCATCACGCGTGGATTAAACGCACAGGTTAAATAAACCTTACTCGGAGTCGAGAGGCCAGGCGACCACCCACACGATCCCGTGTCCCATGGACCAGGCGAACCAGGCTCCGTCCGGGGAGAAGTCCACGCTCCAGGTCTCACATCCCGCCCGGCCCTCCAAGGACGGAGGACGCCTGGTCTTCAGCTCGAGCACCAGAGCCGGGTCGGAGGCTGGAAGAGGACGGAGGGGCAACATAAATAAATTCTACGGCTGACCAGACTCGTCCCGCTGCCTGGTTACTGGTTACAACAAATACGTGACTTACGTGTCTCTTGTTGCAGCTCCGCGTTGGTTCCCGTGGAGCACATCGTTTCTTCTCTTCACATCCTCCGCTTTAACTTCCTGAATGCGTCGTCTCTGTTGTGTGACTCCAGCCGGCCATTTAAATGAAGGCAGGACGGTATCTGTTGAGTCCTCGTCTGGGTCGCGCTTTAGCGATGTGAAAAATGTGCAAGTGGAAAAAACAAGACGTTTCAGCTGATTTCCGGTTTGTGTCCGAGTCACTTCGCAGGCTGCCCATTGGTGGAATGTTGCCCTACGTAGTCACGTCTTTCTTTGTATTACGTAAACTCAAAGCCACGCCCCCTTATTCAATTATAGTGCGTGATAACAAGCCCATGATTTCAACTGTCATGTGGTAAAGTCATTATTAAAACACGATGCGTCAGCTCAGTAGTAGCCAACATCCCAATATTCTTGTATCAAAATGTTGGACTCAACCACAAGGAAAAGTGCGTGAAATAATTCCCCAAAATACACTTTATATATTTATCACAATATAATTTTAACTTTATGTCCCAACTCTTTCAAAACCAAAACCAAATCAAAGGGGTGTAATCATGCATGTCTAACTAATAAAGGCGGCATACTACCATTTTAACAATTCAAAATGTAAAATATATTTATTTAAAGGGTTCATGTCAAAGTATGTCCTTTAAATCCACATTTTAAAAGGTTTATATTATACCATAAGCCATTGTTATGTCACACTTTTAACTTACATCTTGATCTTTTGTGTATTTGTTGTTTTTATTCATTTAAAAATGCTTGTCCTTTTAATTTGCATTGCGATGTGTATACCGCTCAATGTTTTAATGCATTGTGAAAATACATGCCTGTGTATTAAATATACTATTCAAAGAAACGAGCATTGCCTTATATTTATATGAATACATGGAAATATGAATACATCTAACAATAATAATAACCAGCCATATTTCACTTTAGAAGATATGTACTAATGTAACGTACAGGCTTTGAATGTTTGACTTAAAGAATAATTATCTACTTTGAATTAAGTGTTGTCACTTCAAAACATGTTCCGGCTGCGATTAACCATTGCTGAATATTTATCTGTAGATCAAGTCATTTATTATTTGTTCAATTATTTCAGCTCCATTTATTTAAAAAAGGGGAAGTTTAAAGGAACATTTGCAACTCAAGAGGTTACAGAAAGCAAACTTATTCTGTGCTAGCTGAGTGTACGACTGACTACATTTTCATGTGCAGATTATCCGCGATTCCCCTTTAAGATCGTAGTTAAAATATTTACAAAGAACAAAATCATCTCAAAACATTGTTACAGTACCGATACTCATATACTGAGTAAAAACAACATTTCACGCTCACTATTGCTCCAGATCTCATGTCGACTTGGCTGGATTTTCAGGAAGGTGAGAAAACTTAGTTTCGGCTGATTTCAACCTCAACTACATCCCACGCAAAGACCGACAACCTCACTCCACCACATTTTTAAAATGGTTCCAGTCTAGAGTTGCATTCTAGACGCGGATCGTCATAGTTCATCTCTAAAATGATATGTGTATAAGTACAACACAGGGTGGGGATGTATGGGAGTAAGTACTAGGTAGTGTCACATCACGTTCTGTTTCAAACAGCTTCATTTACTGCACAAATCTCAATATCAGAGCAACACATTCACAATGCTGTACAAACAAATCATAGAAATAAGCTTACAAAAACTCAAAACCCTGTTTTAAAAAATAAGGAATAAGAAGAGATGATTTCCTTTTCTCTACATGCATCTTCCACCAATTCAGTTCACATTGTTCATTGGGAGTAAATGCAACTCAACGAAATAAAAACACGCATCTAAAAACACCCGAAAGCTAAAATGTTACAAGATCCACCGGCTCCTCCGTCTGTACAGTATCGTCCTGCTGCTGTGGGCGTGTGCCAGCTGTCTCTGGGTCCTCATGATCAGCTAAAAAAAAAAAAAAAAAAAAAAAGAACACACAAGGACATTTTTACATTACAAAACGCTTCCTTAACAAACCATGACATCAACGTCAACTGGCACGATGAGGTCATACTCGATGGGATCCGATGTATCTGGACGAGCGTCGTCTGGTGTCCGTTGGTCAACGGGGGCAGCCGGGGAACGGCATCCTGAAAGATCTGCTCGTCGTCTGACTCCACCAGACTCATCACGTCTCCTCTGTCCTCCTCCCTGTGCCTAAAGAGCAGAAATATTACTACGACATTCGAGTGAATCTGCAGGTCGGGAACTAAAAGACAGTGAATACCTGAGACTCTTTTACACGGCTTCACATCATCAGATCTATGCTGGTGAACGCATACCAGGAGTGGTTTTTGTATCTGAACTCCGAGGAGGTTTAGGAATGTTTTGAGAATGTTGTGCATTCACACGGGAAAAGTGAGCAAATCTTAAAGTACCCTCTGGACTTTTTGATCACTAGTAGCACCATGGAGCAACATTTTTAGAGCGTTGTCCTTGTTTTGTTAGTACCTTGTGCACAAGGACACCCATGCACGTGATACACAGTCACACTATGCTACAGTTGTCGGCAGCTGTGGAGAAGAAGAAAGCTAGCTATGAACAGCTATGGTTTCAAATTCCTCCCCAAATCTGCTCTGCAAATATTAGAAATGAAAGAATTAAAAATATAACAAACTGGGAAAAAACAGGTTACATATGTAACATATGTACCGTAGAGAGTAGATCACTACCTAGTTATATATAGCTTTTCTAATTTTCTCTCCTTGTTCTATACGAGTATACCTAAAATAGGCATCATCTAAAAAAACTGTATAACGTATACATGAAAGACATCTGTAAATAACCGATTGATGCCAACTATCAATACAAAATATACATATATATAACAAACAAGACAATTAACATGAAACCCAGATTACATGACAGCTGTTTTTAATCCCTTTCATGGTTTGGGTGAGTGAAATAAGCATGCAGTGCTGTATTAGATAAGTCAACGTGAGATACTCACCCAAAGCCATCACCTAAAAACAAAAATATGAACAGAAATTAGTATAAGTGGATTGTTATGATTCATACTTGTGTTCTCATGTACAACATTACAGATGTAGTAGATGAGATTTTAATCTGTGCAAAGATTCAATACAACATAAGTTCAGTGGAGCAGAGACATTTGTTTGCATGCATTTGAGACTTCCGTGCTTATGTTGCAAAAATAAGACAAAAAGTTACCCAGGCAAATTCGGTGCTGGTTGAAGTAAAAGGTTTTAGCTACGATTGCGGCACATCCCACGATCAGTGCAGCGATAAAGACTCCGAGGATCGCTCCCGTGTACGCAGACGAGGCTGTCGGGACAAAACGAGACGACGGGAGAGAGGATCGTGAAGCAGAAAGAAGGAGGAGCAGCAGGTTTAGCAGCATTCCAGAGGTGGAGTCGACACCTGCAGCGACTGGCTTATTGTTTAACCATCTGCTCCATTCATATGTGCTGAGAACTTGGTCAACTCATTGTGTGTCACTCGCCATCCCCTTTGACCTTAAAGCTGTCGTTAGTTACAAATTTACAAACTAAAAAGCACATTATTGATCATGATGCTGCCCACACTCACTCTTCACAGTGAGGTAGACTTCCAGCTCGCGGACGGCGAGTAGGTTCTCGCTGCGGCAGAAGTAAACACCCTCGTCGTCCTTGCTGATGTTGAGTATTTTCAGCTTGAGGGCGGGGCCATCCTCAGACAGGACGTACTTCGATCCGGGAACAATGTCCTCCTGCTGGAGCCCTTTTCTCCACGTGGTGTTCGCAGGCGGGAGGGACACGTCCTCGGTGCACGTTAGAGTGACGCTGGTCGCCTCCAGCGCAGTGACCAGCGGCTCCCCTTCAGGGTACGGAGATTCTGGGAGAGGGGGACAAACATTGAACTGATGATTTGTCCGGAATAAGAGTCTCTGAGTCCTATACGGGTTTAGCGGGACTCAAACCCTTCAATAATTCTAGTTGAGGAGGACACACCTCGTCTTCAAAGCTTTCTAAACATCACAAAACTCAAAATAAGCTATTGCATAATTTATAACCTGCACATACTGTTGCATGTTTGTGCAATCCCGTCCTGTGATGATAACCCTTACCCCACTGAGTGACTCACTGTCCTGTGTGCATCACTGTGTCCTCATGGGCGCGCTACCAACTGTGTTTGTATCCGCAGCAGTACATAAACTAATTATGACAAAATTAAAATAATGAACTATAATAACTAAACAAGGAGCTGATAAACGCTTTAATCTCTGACGTTTATTCAGTAAGCAGAGTGGAAGAGTATTGGAGAGTGTTTGTACTCAAAGTGTTTTGCTTCATAGGAGAAACTGAGCAGAGGGTAAATATGGTGAGTGGAGTTTATAACAGGAAGGGCTTGTCACCTACGGGGGAAGGTGGAGTATGTATCCATTGTCAGTACATTGTGGCGGCACTGAGTCCCCAGATTTCAGCTGATTGGGAAAATCAGCCTTCCAGCCACATAGTACAGAAATATTTACTGGGAGAAACAAATCCCAAAAGGGGCCTTTACAATAACAAAAGCCTTCTTATAATAATGAAAAAATGCTTCTTCAAATATAATAATTGAATAATATGTTTGTAATGTTGGTCATTGGTGCTATTTTTATATATATACATATATATACACACGTACGTATATAATAGTTCTATTTACACCCATTTGTTCACCAATTGTGTAACAATCCTGTCTATTATTTTATCTGTCCAGCTTTGTTGTCCTTGTTATTTCTGTGAGAGTATATTAAGGGAGATGCAAAAATATCAAATCATATTCCTTATATGTGCATGCATACATGGCCAATAAAGCCGATTCTGTTTCAATGCCTCTTCAATAATAAACAAATGCCTCTTTGATAATGAGAAAATATGTACAAATACACTTGAATATCACAATATTATGCTTTGTGATACTGTATCGATTCTCAAAAACTATTGATCTTTAATCAATAGTTTACATGCAAAGATTTGTTCAGGACTTTCATGTTAAGTTTAAACCCCAGAAAGCTTGATACTGGAGTCTTCCACTCCAACGTAACAATGGAAACAGACAGGAAGCCGCGTAAAAGCACTCTGCTAACATTTTCTCCGACTGAGAGTTCATGCATATGGTGGCGTGTTCTTTATACTATGAGTTTTCCTAAATTAAAAATGATAAACCACCCTCTTGCATTCAGTATTCCAATATATTGAATCGCAACCCCTGTATCATGACATGCATCGTATCGCCACATTCTTGCCAATAAACATTCCTACAAAATAAAGCCTGCAGGCGTTAGGCAAGCCCGAACTCTTGCACGGATAGCACAAAGGTCTGCCCTGATGCAGGTCTTATCAAATATTCACTCCAGCTAGGTTTGCAAAAGCCCAAAATCACCCTCAATCAGAAAAGTAAAGGCAGCAAAGTCGTCTCAAAAGGGCCTAAAGACCAGAGTTCCTGGTTGAAGTCTTTGTTACATCAAGGACGCATCAGAACGTCCCAAGTGTGCAGCGCGCCACTTCTCTTAAGCCCTAAAGAAAAGGCGGCGTCACACACCGATTGGTCAAGAGGATAAACGCACCAAGCTGCTCTCAATCTTTAATTAGGAGTTGGTCCTCACACCCTGCACAACAGGTGATCTGAATAACCAATCAACTTGTTGGGAGACGTTCAGCTAAAAACGAATTGGGAAAATGGAAATGACAGCAAGTATCAAAGAATGATGGACTGCTACGTTGTATGAATGACTCATAATGTTTCTTACTTTTGGTGTAAATCTTGTACGATATCTGCGCAGACAGGTTATAACATCGGCATCTGCTTTGAGATAGTTTTTTTAAATCCTAAATCAGATCGTCTGTTTCCGAGATATGCGAATGACATACCCACATTCAGAAATACAGACAATAATGTGTGCACCAAAAACTAAATGATGTTCTCCTAAATTGTGCTGGTGTGGAGGCGAGACAGATCACTCAAAACCCGGACAAATAAATCCCAAACTATATTTGACTGGTGATAATTGCAAAATATGGGGTTTTTTTTTGGTATTTGAATGAAGCGGCCCTTTAAATCAAATTAAGGTCAATGCTATGAATACTGAGTACAAGTAAACATCGTCAACAATCCCACTGAAGAGCGTCTGTGTGACTCCTAAGCGGAAAGCACATAAAAGATTCAGCGGTTGCACATCTCAGGATTGCTTACTGAGGGTAAACGAACACGACTTCTCTATTCCTGGAGCGAGCTCTCGGTGCTGGGCCGTGCACCTCAGCGGCTGCCCGTCAGTCAGCATTGAGCGGTTCAGCGTCACCGACAGGCTCTCCGTCGTGTCCAATGCATAAATGCTTCCGATCGGGCGGGCTCCTTGGTCACCCCGGTCGTCGTCGTCGTCCCCCCAGCGTAGCGTCGGGGCGGGATACGCTCCAAACCAGGTGCAGTTGAACTGGAAGTGGGAGGGGTCCTGTGCTGGTGCCCACAGACACTCAGGGTGTCTGTCTGGGACATCTAGTCAGGACAGAAACATCCGTGAGGAGACTGACAACAACTACAGAAAGCAGCTTAAATATCCAGCTCAACTAGGTCCACCAGGGTTGCATTTGCATTTATTACTCTGGGATTTAGATGCACTCACGCTTTAGTATTTAAACAAAGGATACAGAAGGAAAAAATGGTATAAGCAGTGTCTGTTTTCTGAATGTAATAAGCCGGGTACCATTGTCTTTTCTGTGGTGCAGGTACAGCAATTAACAGTGTATATTTTACTTGCAGAAGATCTTCAAGTGGTAGACACCCCATATTCCCTGACACTAAACGTCCCACCTTCTCCCAGAAAGGCTGAATATATGGACAAGACCAAAACATGTGGGAATTGTCCACCAGTGCTGATCCACACTCTCTCCAGCAAGCATACTGGGTCCAGTTATATTACATTTCTGCTTAGGAGGGGGGGGGGAAATCGTTCTCATTGAATCGTTTAACTTTTTATCTCTTTTTCCCAACGTTTTCTTCAATAATTAGTTGGGTTTGTATTCATTGAGGCGATACCTTTGCTCTATACCTTTCTTAAAGGGACAGTGTGTCAGATTTGGTGGCATCTAGCGGTGTGGTTGCAGGTCACAACCCACTGAATACCCCTTCACTCACTCCTGCCTTTCCAAGACTGCGAGCCGCCGAGTGCAAAACCGTGGTAACAACGATCGCCTCGCTCAGAGGCTGTTCTTACCGTAAAAACACTACTTAAGGAGCAACAGTTGTTTACTTCTGTGCTCGCCACATTTTCGCGCTATTTAAGTTATTGTGACTTTAGGTTGAAGTTCCTGAATTGTGACACACTTCACTTCTGCATTAGAACAATTCTACATAAAAGAAATTATGAAGGTTCATAGTGTCCTAATACATTTCCTGGAAAGAACTTTGTAATTTGGTAATAATTAGAGGAACATTCTGAGAGAGTTGTTTGAGCTTAATTAGTTGTCTTGAGTTCTAAACAAGTTATTGATTTCTAGAAGAATTTCATTGAACGTCTTCTCAATTTAGAGCCAAGTAAATATTTATTTACTCAGCCTTTATTATTGGAAACTTTATTCTCCAAATAGAGGATGTTGTAATGTGTTCTTGCCTGTAGACACACTCTTGCATGTTCAGCTAAATTACAAGGAAACCATAAATTCTTTTATAAACAGGCTGATACATGAACGAGTAAATGCAGGAAGAAATGGTTGGAGCTCGCCTTGCGTGTAGAAAAGGAATTTGTCTGTGAGGGATTCTAGGAAGTTAGCAAAAAAAAACAAAAAAAAAAAAAAACAGGAAATGTTGTGATTGTTGAGAATTCAGGAAGTCTATTAAATTCAGATAAAACGGTTTATTTCATAAATTATTGCAACATCGGGGTGAATTACTGTGTCAGTCTGCCAACATTTGACTGTATCTCAAACGTGTTTTGGACTTTGGTTGGTTTTTGATTATGACTCAGCTGCTTGTCTAGACATTTCTGTTGTTTACCAGTTATGTGTATTTAATGTACACTCATACGTTGTGCACTAGTTTGTTATAAGTTGAAAGTTAGACCACAAGCTTCTATGAACAGATTATGCATTTACACTCCGTGAACTCTTTGAGAACTTGGAGACATGAATATGAATACATCACAGTGCCTATAAAACAGGAAGTTGTTTTGTTGAATCAAAGGGGATTAAATGAGACTTTTCTGACACTGACCAGAAGGAAACAGACCCTTTGATGTCAAAGTGGAAACATCTCGACAAAGTTATTTAAAATTACTGTAAACCTACGAGACTGTAATCAATTGCGTCTTTGTTTTTTAGGTCTTGCTCTGTTATGCACTTTAAATGCTCTGTTGGCTTTACTCACTCTTGACATTTTGTCTTTAGAGATAGCTGCCGCAAGATCATTTAAAGTGCATAATTCAAACAATTAGTGTAGGTCGCATAATTAATGAAATAACACAATCGCCAGAATGTTCATTTTCACCAATAATATTTCTTCTCCCGCTTTTGAATGGTCACCAGTATTGAAACATTTAAAATTAAATGTTGCCGACTCTTGCAATCTCCTGTTCTCTCTCTAAAGTGCAGCCCAAATAACCATAAAAATAACACTTTTCAAAATCAGACCTTTTTGTCGGAGAAGGGCACTGTGGGTATTCTGCTGATGGTACTTACAGTATACTAGCAGCTGTGTGCTCTTATTGACTGCCTGATCAGAGACGGGGTTGTGGGCCCTGCAGCTGTACACCCCCTGAGCGCTGGGCTGAACGTCTTCTATCCTGAAGTCCAGCCAGGATCCGGAGGTGGAAGCCAGCGACTCGTTGCTGGACGAAGCTCCTCTGAAAGCCCAGCTCAGCTGCTGGGACGGGTGGGACGAGCCGGAGCAGTTAAAGGAGACGCTCGAACCCCGGGAGACGATGAGCGTCCCGTTGGACAGAGCAGTCGCTGGACCGATGGACACGGATAGATTTCCTGGGCCACCTGAAAGGAGAACAAACAGTGCTTTACGACAGTGTTTAAGTAACGATACTTTTTAGGGTAAAAAAAATAGATTAACTTTGTTATTGCTTGAAAAACTGTATCATTATGCGATTGTCATGTTTGTGACATTTTTTTGAAAATCTTTACTACCAATATCCATACCTGGACATGAGTTTAAAAATGTGTTGTGGGGAGTTTTTGGCCTGAGTTGATGAGTGATCTGATGACAAACCTGTGATGTGATGCACACTTTTCATGACGGCAGAGCAAAGTAACGCAGTTGTAAAACATGAGCGGTTTTGCAAATGTTTTATAAAAAGGTAGTGAATTAATTCAATTCAAGAAGTGCTGCAATGAAAAAGGCAGCGCATGCATTACCTATAATATATATATATATATATAGTATTAATAATCTAAATCTGCAACGTAAATATGGTAAAGTAAGTGCAGTGGAGTAGTATAAAGTAACATAAAATGGAAATACTCGAATGTGCGTAAACCTCAAAACTCTACAACACTTGAGTAAATGTACTGTGTATCCCACTACTGGGTAATGTTTGTCTTTTTTTTTTGATAAACATGATAAACTAATATTTCATTATACAAATATTAGACTCTTCTGTCAGTAGATTAATCGTTAAATGATTTCAGCTCTAGAAATGATGCGTTTGTTGATAATGAGAATGTATGCGTCACACTATCATTCATCCCAGTGGCCACCTGGATCCATGTGCGCTATGTTGAAGAATAAATTTGTTTACTAAAATAAAGCTGCTTGGATGAACTCGGATCATCATACTGGTCTCATGACTGGACATATTAACCACTTACTGGTTACTTGCAGCGAGACACGTGCGTGAAAGGTGTTGTTTCCCGGCAGCGTGGAGCTGCACAGGTAGGTGCCCTCGTCCCCGGGCATCACACTCCTGATTTGCAGACTGCCGTCATTCGTCACCACGAGCCGCTGTCCTGCGGGTGAAAGGCTCGGGGAAGAGGCGTCACTTCTCATGACCTCTCGTCCATTTTTCACCCACGACGTGAGAGTCGGTGTTACGTTACCGACGGTGTAACACGGAAGTGTAGCGATGTCCCCCGGTGCTGCCACCAGGGCCGTTTCGGTGGAGCCACTATCCGAAACTGCCGCTTTGACAGACAAGAAGAGAGGGGGGGGCGACATAGAACGTGAGCAGGATTTACAGACTCACCTGTGTTACCTGGCTGCACGCGCGCCCCACGATCAAAACTCACCTGTGGCGCACAAACAAAGGTGTAGAAACGCTGCAGTTGTCAATATCTTCATGATAACTGTCCTAAAGGCGACATCGCCTTCAAAAAAAAACTAAAAAAAAAAGGTGAACAAAAGGGCTTCCAGTCCAAACCTGTCCGACTAGTCCACCTGTTCCACCTGTGTGAGCCCGTCTGTGACACGCATCCACACCAGTCCGCCCATTTTAAACTACAGAGGTGACCAGTCTGACATGATGTGACTTCAGTCTCTCCGTTTTGTTTACAAGAGCATGCTAATCCGGAAACTTTGGCAGGAATAAACCACACCCTGACCTCACCTTCTTAAAGGGACAGTAACGCTATATGACGCTGCATTGGGACAGGTTAAAGTACACTGCAAGGATATTTATAATTCCCAAAGCGGTGGTGTTATTATTAGTTTTCTCACATGTATACAACCTTTATTTGACAGATATATTAAGGTGTCTTAGCTCCATTCTTGAGCTTGGCAACAGTTGATGAAAAACATCTATATTAGGTTTTTTTTTATATACTTTTTTTAAAGAAGCATAGAAATAAAACAAAACATATCAGAAACAACAGTCTATGCATTCATACAAATGTTATGCTGATAGAAATACATGCCAGTTCACTCAGTAGCTGATCATCTCATGAGGTGCACAAACACAGTCCATTTTCTCCAGCATTGCAGGAATTTATCAACACGTAGATTTAGTGAAAAAAGTCATTCTGTCCACACTTTGACTAATATTCAGTCTTTGCCGGAGGTTCGGTCTGTAACTATTTTTGTGTTACAGCTTCCTTGCCGGCTGCTAATAATGTCTTTAATAGATATTTGTCTGCCACCAATAAATGAGCTGCAGTATTGGCCAAAAAGATTGTAGAGGCCAGGTCTTAAGCCTTGAATGTTTTGAGTGTAGCTCTGAATACAATCATAACTGTCAGCCTGTAAAGAGCGACAAAAAAACAAATGTGTGAGAATGTGCTTCAGTGTTTGTAACATAACAAATTGTCAAAGTTTGTTTGTTTGTGCAGCTCTGACAATCACTGCTGAGTGACTCAAAGCAGGAAGAGTTGAGGAGAAATGGCAGAATGTGTCGTTCTATGTGGGAAAAAAAAACATCTTTTTAAAGAGGAATAAGTTTAAGCTAAGAGGTGAGCCCATGTTGTATAATCTATAGTCTGAATCAGGCTGGGTTCAGTTTGATTTTATTTCACAAACTTGACGGTACTTTACATTACGACGTGGCTCCAAAACGAACAAAAACAATTCATGCTATGAATGAAAACTCCAGGTACAAGAGCGGTTTAAAAACTATTGTTATCCAATTTTTGCTCTCCAAACATCTCACTTTGCACATATTTAGATCAGAGCAGTATTTTTTTCTGGTGGTGTGCCCACAAACCCTTCCAATAAGTTCAGTGTTTGCAAAGCAATACTGAGAGAATCCTGCATATATACGGCCACGGTTACCAGTAGGTGGCACTTTGGCTATGAGTTAATATTGGCATGCAGAAGTTCTAAAGTCATGACTCTTATCAAGCAAGTCAAGTTTGGGTCAGCTTTGTCAAATTACAGTTGAGTTACAACAGCTTAATATATGTTGGCGAGCATGTAAAAATGGCCGCCACGCCACGTCCACGCCGTTCCATGAAACCTGAAGCTTTTGATCGTTTTTAATCACTAAGGTCTTTAGATTGTACTGACCAAATTTCAAGTTGATCTGATTAATTCTCTAGGAGAAGTTAGTTAAAGTACAGGGTCTGGAAATGGCAAAAAAAAAAACACGAGAAATTCACACAAAATTTAAAATAGCCGACTTCAGGTTGGGTTTAGAGCATAGCTAATTGAAAATTTGTTTTGAAAGTCATTGTTACTGAAGAACGACTATCAGCCTCATTCAGTGATTTATAGTTCCAGTTTTTTTGAAAACTTATTTCCCCTGTAGTTATTCAGCTCACGCTTTGTGTCTAAACGATTTTACATCTCACTCCTGAGTTGTTTTGCCTTCAAGACAAATTACTGGGCCAGTGATTTGAAAACAACCAAACTGACCCCGGTGAATAAGTTCAAGTACTTTTCACAAGTTCAAGTCCACTGCCTCTTTGTATTATGAACACCTCCTCGGATACTGTTTAATCAGAAGCCGCTGTATGTAGCAGCCATTTGTCAACACAGTGCCCCCTCCTACTGTTCACTGCTGCACACATTGTCCTCTTCATCACAGCACAATGTCGTGAACTGAGCACATATTTCTCTTGGATGGAGTCTTTACTCAGTCAACCAAAGGCTAACTTACTAATTAGATCTCAGGCTACCTGCTGTGTTTGCCCTTGAGGAAGGCAGTGGTTTAAAACCAGGGAGTTACTGCAGATTTTTGGGCAGTGAATATGTGTTTGACTCCGTAAGTGTGTGTCGATGTGTGCATGAATGGCTTCATACATAGATGCATGCATGTACAGCACTGCAAACTTCAACGTCAATAATAAACACGTAGTTGAATCAACACCTCTCTGAAAGTTTTTAACAAAAACTAAACATTCATACCTGTAGAGCTGTTGTAGTGGATTGTATTATATTATATAGTACCTAACAAAGTGAGCAAGGAGTTTAAACTAACAGTAAAATGACTGAGTTGCTTATTTTACTGGTGGACATCTGTAATAAAACTTGCAGAAAACATAATGTGCACCATTCAGTGCAAATGGTTTCTGTCAAAAGCAAAATGACACTGTTTACAGTGTGGATTATATGCAAAACATAACAATTTAACGTTGTTTCAGACACGTAGGTCCATGTCAGATACAAATTATAAAATAGATACCAAATTCGGCAGCTTAAACTCAAGGCACCATGTCCTTCATCACTCACGTTTAGTAACTTTGTACGTGTGTGTGCGTGCGTGGTGTGCCTCCCTGCTCGGCCCCTATAAATGTGATGTCTGGAAACAGAAAGTGTGTCAGTGGAGCATGTGAGCTGGAGGAGGGACGAGCTGTAATATGATTGACGGGGATTTCAACAAACCACAATACACGTGGGTGGAGACGCGACGGCGCCCTCTGGCGGCCACCTGCAGCTGGTGTCGTTTGTGCCGTTCATGTGTAGTCAGATTGCTCGGAAATATATATATATATATTTTACCACACATGAACACACAAGAAGCATCAGTAAGTTAATTTACCTCCCACTTCCCGGCAAAGGAATATCAGCCATAGACTGTATACAAGCATGCATTACTAGTAGTATCAATACTACGTTGAAAACAGTCCAACGTGTTAGCTCAAAGCGCATATTCAAACACCCGCTTCTGTATCACCCAGTGGTACTTGAACGCAGCACTTTCGGCAGCTATTTTGTGTTTCTCTAAGCACCGGTACAGCTAACAGCGTCTACAACCGGGACTATACATCGAAATGCCGGCGGATTTGAGCCAGTGGACCGGGCCTCTCGCCCTGCAGGAGGTCGACGAGAAGCCGGCACAGCCTCTGACTGTTAAATACGACTCTGTGGAAGTAGACGAGCTCGGCAAAGTGCTCACCCCGACACAGGTTCGTCCGCTAACTAATGTCGGCTAGCGAAGCTAACAACTCAGCTAGCTTAAAAAGCTATTGGCGCCAACATACTGACGTGTTGTTTGTAATTAGGAAGCAGTGCTTTGCAATTGATAATGTTGTCAGCATGTTTGCAAACAATGAATTAGGTTACATAATGTCTCCAGCGTGTCTGCAGCTTTAATAGATGGCTAATAGCGCCTCCTAACGGGTCATCATGTCAACACCTGTTCACATGCAGGTGCAGAGTAGACCCACCTGTGTCGAGTGGGAAGGATGCGACTCCAGTAAGCTGTACACGTTGGCCCTGACCGACCCCGACGCTCCCAGCAGGAAAGACCCCAAATTCAGGTGAGAAGAGAAGGCAAACCGGGGATGGAGGTGCAGGATGGCTGCAGTGATTAATGTGACGAGGAAAGATTTAAAATGTGTGCAGTTAAAATGCACGTAATGGTTTCAAATGAAGGGCAGCCCAGTGTTTCTTTTGCTTTCATCTGCTAGAAGAAATATTACTGCATTGTAAGGAACCAGAAGGTTCCCTTGGTGGACCCATGGTGCAGGATTCAGATTGTCAAGTGGCTCTGGGGCATCCCACCCACTTTCTGTGCATGTACACTGCTGCATACAAGTACTTGTCAAGCACATGGTAGACTTTACATAGATGCTTGGTTATGTTTTGCCCAGAGCGCTAGAATAACTTACTACATAAGTCTTAGATTTCATGGTTTTTGCTTTTCGTTGTAGGGAGTGGCACCACTTTCTGGTGGTCAACATGAAAGGGAGCGACGTTTCCTCTGGCTGCGTCGTGTCGGACTACGTGGGCTCTGGTCCTCCCAAGGGCACAGGTAAGACGAGATGAAGCTCAGAGAAGCATGGTTAAAGATGGTTTTCACGTTGACAAGCTAAACCTATGGTCTTCACAGCAGCACTGTAACACAACATTTAAAAAACCTTCTGTTTTCGGTCCCCCTCAGGTCTCCACCGGTACGTGTGGCTGGTGTACGAGCAGCCGGGCAGCCTGTCCTGCACCGAGACCGTCCTCACTAACAGGTCTGGAGACGGCCGCGGCAAGTTCAAGGTGCAGAGTTTCAGGCAGAAGTACAACCTGGGAGCCCCGGTGGCGGGAACCTGTTACCAGGCCGAGTGGGACGACTACGTTCCCAAACTGTACGAGCAGCTCGCCGGAAAATAAATGAAGAGACTCGACTGTAGAGCGCTCAGCACTAGGAGCCCCCACGGAGGCTGGCGGTCTGGAGGAAATTCCCGTTCTTGCAAAAAAAAAAAACAGTAACAAGCATTTGTTTTGTGTGTGCCACTGAATCCCGTTTTATTTCCCACTGTTGCCTTCCCATGCTGTGACAAAAATAACTCCTTAATGTCACCTGCAATAAATGTGTTAAAACACAGAAATTGTTGCATTATGTTTTCTGATCCTGTGGTGGATGATACATGCTTGGAGCCTCCATAACATCTTAGTATATATTATTATATGGTGTTTCATGATAAATGATCAGTGAGAGGTTTTTCTTTTTCCTATTGAGATGTAAATAACTAGAACCAGCAGTGTTGCTTCTATGGAGGGTGGGTTATATTTGGCAGTTTACAGAAAGTACTTTTACTGTAAAAGGAGTCCGCAGACACAATATACATTTCACCTCGAGGAACTAGGGTCTAAAGTTAGTTCCTAGTGCCCAAAGTGTCCTAAATCCAGAGGCATTGCTTTCGCCCGGAGACTATCGTTGCTTTTTGGGGACACGAAATGTAGATCGTCATATTATAAGTGTTCCTTGGTAGAACAGTTCAAGCTGTCGGGAGTCAGTCATGCCCTTCTGCACAGTTTAAGTGATTAAATGTTTAATATGTGACTAATATTCTCAGCTCAAAGGTCAGAGATTGGAGATCTTTAGCAGAGATGTGTGAACATTGAAATCAATGCTCAATCTTTTTTTATCTCCTGGTTTGTTAGTGTTATCTTTTTGCTGTAACACGCACTGAATGTGATGATCATGAGGAATGACATAACGACACGCCCTTAGTTTGTGTGATGAGCACTTTATTTACAAATATAATTAAAAGCTCTGACAGATTCATGCTTTCTTTTAACCTGGAAAAAAAAAATAATGAAAGTGCATGCAATAATAAAGCATCATACTGGTCTGGTTTATAAGAAAATACACAGCTTGGGAGTTGTGTAAAGCCAAAAAAAAAAAAAAAAAAAAAAATCAGATGAAAACCCCATTGAAACATGACTGAACCTCAAATACTATCTGAGGAGGGGGGAGAGGAAAAAAGCGCCTTTAAAAATTCTTTTTTGATTTGAGTGACAGTTAAAATACAATACGAAAATAAGTAAAAGCTCTCCATAAATCCTTCTATACACAAAGTACAAGTCCCCCCCCCCCCCCCCCCCGCCCCCCCCCATGAAGCCCTTTGTGCTAGTCTGGAGGTGGACTTCACATGTATTATTCACATTGGCTGCCAGTGCAGAGAAATCAGTACAAGTACCGTGATTCGCCCTCCCTCGGTAATCAAATTCACCTTTATTGTATGCGTACCTGTATGTACATGATATTTGTGTCTCAAAGTATCAAATTATTTAAATTTTCCATAAAAATGTCCTGATGAATAAATACCAAAAAGTGTTGAAAGATGCCGCTCAGACTATCGGCTGCAGAAGGATCAGCTGTTTGATTTATCGCTCGAGACAACCCCCCCCCCCCCCCGAACCCAAAAAGTAATCACCTCTAGAGATTCACGGTCTCATCCAACTGCCCTCTGTTTGCTCTCCCTCCTTCTCCCATCTGCCAACAACACAAGTGTCATCATTGCACAAGAAACACTGTGACTATGTTATCATTATTCTTACAAAAACATGACAACTACAGGAAGTTACCCAGCATATTGGGGTTTTTTTTGGTTGCCATCTTGTGACACCGTGAGAGGCAAGGAGGGGGAGGAAGTCCAGATGGGTTTGGTGGTCGTGGTGGAGGAGGGGGGGGCACTAAAACCTGCCGTGGACTCTGTCTGACCGGCCCAGAAAACACACGGGAGCTGATTCTGGAGCTGGTTTTGTTTTTTCTTCTTCTTCTTTTTTGTGTTTGACTGTGGGATCCAGCAGCAGTGAACACCTCCAGGTAAAAGGAGAGGAGGGGTGCACGGAGGCAGACGGGACGCCCCCGGGGGGACCACGAGAGACCCTCATCTGTAGTCGTCCTTGGGGAGGTCCAGGGTGCCCAGGTTGCCGAAGCCCAGCCGCATGCTCTCCATGTCGTAGCTGTCGATCTCCCGCTCCTGGCGCTCCAGCAGGTGCTTGATGCGGTCGGTCCGCTCCTTCTGAATGGAAACCAGCTCCTCTTCAATCTGCAGGAGACACGAGACATTCAGGGTTCATTTATTGGAGGAGACATCTCCGATTAGTTTATTTCACTTATTTAGTTGGAATTACCATGATGGAGATGGTCGTAATGGTTTTATTTTATAATCCAAGTTTTTTTTGTCTTTCTTTTTTTAAAGTACATTAATGCGGGTTGAGGTGTGTTTTGCAAACAACAAAGTGTAACAGCTTTAAGACATTCTCTATCCAATATTCATTCTCTTTTAACCCTGCAGTTAAACCATTATGTATGCAACGTAAACTTCATAACAGATGTGGACACAACATCTTTCAAATATACAGTCCAAATGCAATTGTAATGTAATAAATATATTACTTTTTAAAGCTTATGTTTCATAACAAGTGTGGAACAAATGTATTCTCAAAATAGAAAGGTCAAACACACGGCAGCTCCAAAATAAACAAAGAAACAATAACTTTATGAATTCACAACCAAGCAGATAGTTGACCAGAGCAATATAACACGACTTAATCCAAGACTAACAATATAATAAATCATTCTAAAATGTGTTATTTGAGATGCCGGATGAAGTTCGCTTGGCCGACCCACAACAACTGAAAACATTTAACTTAAGCGTCGACAGTGTGTGGGAGCTGACTTTTGTCTCCATTAAAATAACAATGTGAGACATTTAAGGTGTTCTGTCCCAACAGGTGCAACACAATGAACAGTGAGAGAGATACCAATCAAGCTGCGTCTGTGCACGCCTACACAGTCCTGATGAGCACAGTGAGGAATAACAAAGCTGGCTGTGAATCACGAGTGTGTGTCGGGACTTTTTTTTAAAAAACAGCTTTTTTTTTTTTAAGAGCAGTTTGGGGTAAAACCTAATCTTTAAGGTCTAATATTCAATTTCTGTTTGTATTTGCCAGAGACGGACTCAAATAGGAGAAAAGCCTTACAGTGTAAAGGACTACAATACACCACATTACAAACTGCAGCCAATCGTTAAAGCAACACTCCCGACACATTCAGTTTGTAACCTTTACGAATGCTGTGTTTAATGTGTTCATGATGTTCCTGTCGACCCCCCCCGTAGCTATTTCATATCCTTGATGTGTCTGACTATGACACGAGCCACTGGATGCACACTTTCATGTGCTTTGTTTATTACTGTGAAGCTGTCGGCGTGGCAAGTTGCATTACTCAGGTTGTGTCTGCTGGATCTTTCAGTCGACACACACACACACACACACACACACACACACACACACACACACGCACGCACACACACACACACACACACACACACACACACACACACACACACACACACGCGCACACACACACACACACACACACACACACACACACACACACAGGTGCAGACAAAACACTGCATGGCGCAATACGGCAATCTGGCCAACTACTGAGCATGCACAGAAAACTCCAGACTCTGACCATGAGCCGAACCGGAGGACAATAGTGCTTCTAAAACCATGACATCATCCCAGTCCCGTAGTGCAGATCCAGATGCAGCCAGGAGGGGGCGACAGACCACCACGGAGGTCCACTGGGCCCAGCAGAACTGGATCAGGGGCTGCATTTCAAACCCTCTCTTCCTTTGTTGTCGGAGTGCTGTCTACTAGACTGTGGCGATGACGTCGGTCACTTCGGAAGGAGGCGGACTCGGCCGCTGTAATCTCATCACATGTCATCGGTGTACATGGCAGCTCGCCTGAATGGTCCCATAAAAGATGCGTCGCAATCACGAGTGTCATGCAACCAAATTGGGAGACACAGATTGATCCAACTGGGTCAAATGTAGGCGAAGAAATATAAAATTGTAACAAAGTATGAAAGCTGCAACAAAGCTGCAGTTGTCACAATTAAGATGACTTCATAATTGATTGAAAGTATATCTATTACACTGGACGCATGCAACGACCAATTAACAATAAGCTTGACTGCACCGATTGTGTCGCGTCACAAACAGAGGACGACAAAAATGTAACAAGAGAACCATACTGTCGTCTGTAGAGATCTCACCGTCATAAGGGGTGTGTGGGTGAGAAATGGTTCTGTGCTCCACGCAGGAAGGCATGCCGCTGTCATCCCCACCTGTGGTGAGGGAAATCTGTGTGTGTCCGTGTGAACTCACGAGTGTCTGTCTGGGTCGCCTTTCATGCCCGCACCGCCTGCTGAGGTGGATGCAAATGTGTATCCGGACCTCTTCGCTTAGGCTTTGAGGCGTAGGACTGTTTATGTTTCTACGTTATTACCGCCCGCGTGTGTACGTGTACACACCTGCATGCTTCGAATCTTTAAAAAGGCGTCGTTACTTCCTTTATGTGATGTACTGTAAGTCCTGCTGGAGCAGGATGTTGGAGGACAGAATACAAATAAGGATCATTCTAAACCTCAAACGACGCCGTTTGTGTCTTCTTGTGCGGGATGGGGTCACTTAATGAGGTCTTATGGGGAGTTTTAAGTAATCCATGACCTTTAAAAAAGGTTCAGTGTGCTTTAAATAAAGTATTTTGTGTGAAGTGTTGTCTCAACAACACCTTAAGGGAACAATATTTCTAGGTTTTTTTAAACCAACCACATTTGAAGGTGTGGAAAAAAGCCTAAGAGGAGACGTGATGACAGTCTCTTCTCAAAGTCATTCAGCTGTTGCTTTTGGTTGTACGCACATATTTGAGGGCCAACTTTCCCTCTGCACACCTGAGCAGGTTGTCGGATTCAGAAAGTGGCATTCTGTCTGAGAAGCAGTTAGTTTGAAGCCTAAGAGGAGTTTATCTGCATGCAGACCAGGAAGAAATGCAGCCTTTGAATGACGGTGGCCTCGAACTGACCCAACAATATCAGACATATTTAAACCCAACAAGTTAACTATTCAAATATACAACATCTTACAACACATCTTAGTCATTGGCCTTAAACTGTCTAACCTAACTTTATGTCTGTTTTTATTTTCTTTTGAAACCTGACGTTGTCTTGTGAATTGTCTGAATTTGTGATTTTTATTTTACTTTTTCTTTTTGTTAAAAAAGCCCTTTGGATAAACTGTGTTGTGTTTAAAGTAAAACATAAATAAATAAATGAAGGATTGGACGTGTGTTGAAACTCAAACTGGCGGGAGTCTTTTAAGTGAAATACCAGGTTTCGATCAGAAGATGAGAGGGAATAAATTCTCTCCAATTTATGTATTTAAAAAAAAGATGTAGCCATGTTAAAAAAGGCCTTTTCAGGAGTGTGCCTTGAATTATTTGGGGAATTCGTTCCTTCTCTTTGTCCATTGTGTTTCATTTAAGAAGGCAGTATTGATCACCTGCAGAAAAACAACAATATCTCCTACAGAGCAGCAACAAAAAACAAAATGGCTCTTTTAAGAAATGACGAGTGTTTCCTTCAGCACACCTTTTGCTCCAGGTGAGCCCGTCGCAGCGACACCTTCTGCTCCAGCTTCTGCTGCTCGCGCTCGTGCTGCGCCTCGGTCTGCATCTTGATCTTGCTCTGGTAGGCATTGAGCAGCTCCATCTCCTGCTGCAGCTGCTGCCTCAGGGCCTGGCACTCGGCTTCCTGGGCCTCGTCCAGACGCAGCTGACACAGCCGACCGTGGACCGCGACAGGGAGGGAGGTACAAAGAAACAGAGAGAGAGAGAGAGACAGAGAGAGAGAGAGAGAGGTGTAGATTGAGGGGGAGGGTGGAGGTACATTGATAAGACACCCAGAAAGAGAGTGAGAGGAGAGGGAAGGAATAGAGACAGAAAGGACAAAAAGTAGGGGAGGGGACGAGGAGACGAAGGGATGGAGGAAAATGGAAGGGCAAGCGGGAGAGACAGGACACAGAAAGACAGTAGAGGAGGGAGGTTTAGAGATTTCATAAAGACACAAAGATTGTAAATAAAGGTGAGATAAAAAGGGGAAGAAAGAAGAACGATATAAGTCCAGGACAAGATATGAGATGAGGACAAACAAGGGGGAGAAAAAAAGTGAAATCATGAGCAAAAGGTGGAGAGAAAGGCCTCACAATCATCTTCAAAAGCCTAAATAATGTCTAATCACAAAATGTCCAAAACACATTATTGTCCAGAAACAAAAAAAACAAAAAGATGACGTGAACGTTCTCTCCACTCACCGCCTGCGAGGCCATCATCTCGTTGATGCTCTGCTCGTATTGCTCAGCCAGGATGGCCAGCTTGCGCGTCTGCTCATCCTTCAGGGCCTTGAGCACCGTCTTGTGCTCGGCCTTGGGCGTAACTTCCATCTGGTGGTGGCGCAGGGCCTTGTACTGCTTGGTCTGCACCTTACATGTGTCCTGGAACTGCTTCTTGATCTGCAGCTCCAAGGCCTAGAGGAGGGGACAGACACAGACAGAAAAAGAGACAGTTTAAAGAGTATTGAATTTATTTTAAAGGTTGTCGTGGTTAACAATAGGAACAGTTCTGCTGCTGGAGGTTGAAGGTTTCAAACAGCAAGGGGCAGAAATCAGAGTTCTGCTCTCTGTTATCCTCAAAATGAAAACTGAAATGACATTCAGAGGGGACACATTTTGTTTGTTCTTTCACCATTTCTTCCAGATTAGTTTGTTACATCCACGTTGCATCACTGCTTTATCAAAATCTCTCCAAAATATAGAAGACGTTGCTCACGGCTTGCGCCATCTTAGAGGTGGATCCAATTTATGTTTTCAAAGAGACAAGATGAAATCTAAAAATGAATCCAGGCATTTCAAACAAGTTTTTTTGTTGTTTTTTACCGTTACCTTACATTTCAAGCACCTCCTGACAACAACCACCACTTCTATAATATCCCGGATCAGAAACTGTATTCGTGTCTAGCGTCGACTCACTTTGAGGTTCTTGGGCTGCTGCCGGAGCTCCAGCACGTGTTTACGGTGGAGTTCACGCTCACGCCGGTTGTTGTACTCGATCTGGTTCTCCAGCTCTGTCTGGTGCTGCAGGCGGATCAGGTCCATCCGCAGCTTCTGCAGGATCTTCAGCTGCCTGAACTCCAGTTCCTGCATGGACTCGTCGTGGCGGATCAGCATGGCATGCTCCATCTCTTTCTGGGTCTTCTTCTTGTTCAGCTCCTAGGAGGACCGGGAGGAAGGAAGGACATTACGGGTGACTTGCAGTGGGTGCTATTGATTAGCATTGTTAGCTCAGCTTGTTTTCAATGTGACATTCACACTTTCACATGTAGAAATCAATTTTCCTCTTTGTTTGTTTCAGAACGTCGGCTGACATTATCAACAGCTGAAAAATCAATAAATATCTCTCCATCTTTCATACACTTCCTGTTATTCTATTTACCAAAACATTAAAACGATCGTCTAAAACGTGAGTTTTGTGTGTTTTCTCACAGAAAGCTTTCGGACATTCTAAGACCTCATCCAGATTTACACAACAGCTTTTCGGATTGTGACATTACTGGCTTGCTTTACTCTGTAATAATCTTCTTATGGTTAATAAGAAACACTTCACAGATAAAGAACAATGGGAGTAATTATCAGCACAGTGCTGGGGAAAAAAATATGTCGGTGTTATAATCACACTGGGCCTGTTCACGGCAACATCACAAACAATAACTGATAAACAGGGGGTTTGGTGAACTTCAGGTGTACGTTTAACAATTAAATGAAGTTCATTTATAATTTATTCACGTGATGTTTTTAGGGATGTACGTTCTCCGCACCTCTCGGATCTGCTCCTGCTCCAAGTCGTGCCTCTTTATCATGACCTTGCGCTTGAAGGCGCGGCAGTTCCTGTCGTAGAAGACTCTCTGCTGGGCCAGGAGGAGGGCCTCCTCCTCGGCCTGGGAATGCTGCATGTTCTCCTTGTGCTTGGACAGACGCTCCTGCTTCTCCTTCTTGGGTGTGCTGTGGTCCTCGTTCATCTCCTGAGAGAGGGGCGAGAGTTACTATGAGAGGAGATTTTTTCGACAAGTACAGGACAGAGGAGAGTCACAATTAGTGTGAGGCTGTAAATTTGAGCTGTTATCGGTAGGTTTATCTCACAAGGGTCATTTATATGTTTTTAAAGTTGTAATTGTCTATGCATATGCCAGTTTAACTGGTGAAATGAAGACAATGGCTAATAGGTTTATGGGCAGTGGGTGAGGAGATATTAAAACCAGTAGATATATGACAAGCAAATATAATCTAAAGCAAGCAGAAAATGCCCAAACTATGCGTTACATATGCATGTTTTGAATGTGAAAATGAACAACGCCTCGATAATAAATACTCCAATTGGCAAACTCCAATTGACTGTCTGTCTGGAACGACTTTCATAGCCAGAGGAGGGTTTGGGGAAAAAAAAGCCACATCCCTCCTCAGTATGAGTTCTCTTTCTCTGTCATGGGCTTGGAGGTAATCTACAACTCCAGCTAATGCACTTAACACATGAGCCTGATCCCCGTTCTCTGTGGTGTCTAATTCCGTTATAGCCCTCAGTTGGTGGGAAATATCTCTCCCTTCCAGCGATGCTTTCTTTTAACTGCACTGACCTAATTTTGGTCACTTATCTTGCAACTGAAAACACAGTGCATCACTCTCCCAGCCCACAGGAGTATTCTCTGGGCTCGGCTTGAAGGTTGTGGAGGCACACAAATGATACTCTTGTGCGTATGGATTTGTGGGTTTCCTTGCTGGTGTGAATATATTTGTGTAGGTACACAGTGAGTAGGCCGAGTGACTCAACACAGCTTCCAAAAGACCACTCTTGGTGGTACTGAATGTGCATGTTTGTGTGGAGGAGGGCTGATTCAACAGTTAACGGCATACAGTGTCACACACGAGAGAGACGCACAAAGGGGCTCGCTTGAGGAGGAAAAAAGGAAACCAACAAACGCGGCACACCTCCTTAATCTTCTCCTTGCAGAGTTTGTACTGCTTCTTTTGATTATCCAGAAAGGTGGTCAGCTCCTTCTTCTGCTGGGCCACGATCTGCTGCTGGAACTTCCTCTCATCTGTCAACGCTGTCTTCATCTGTGGGACAACAGAGACGAGTGGCTGTTAGCGTAGCATGGAGCTAAATACAGACTCCAAGTTTATCACCAAACAGTGAACAAATAAAGTCGTCTGCAGATTAACCGACAATGAAAATGACAGTTAGTTGCAGCTCAAGTGTCATGTTGGTGAAGTGTTTATATGTTTTCCATGTATTTAATATTATTGTATGGCCAGTTAAAGACACGGCACTGATTGGTTGATTGAAGTTATTAGCTGTTGTAGCTAATGATAAAGAAAATTGCAATATGTGCAAATTTTGGTTGGTAGGAGATTACAAAAAACATCATTATCCAAAAAAATGGAAGATTTAATTGCCAAAACAACCTATTTTCAGGCCATGTGTTCTGACGTAAGCTAATATCTAGTGACTAATTGGTTTAGCTGAGTGACATGTGACATTGTGTATGGTTCAACAGATATACTATCTCCCTGGCTGGTCTTGGGTCAGGCGCTGCGTGCTAATCAAAGAGATATGCAGCTTGGTTTTCAGAGCGGGACATTCTGTGACCCACTTCGGCCCGTGTGTTTCATCTTATGTATAATTGGGTGGCAGCAGTGCTTAAAGACTTAGCGAAACTTGCCATAGCATTCAACGTAAGACTACGGTTGGAGCTTCATCAAAGCAAAAAATGTTCCTCCAACAGCTATAGAATCATTGTTAAAATTAGCATCATGTCCTGAAGCCCACCTCCCCCCCAACTGCTGCACGGTACACGTAGGTCGGTGTGATCGTCTGTGACATTACTGTACTTCTGCGTCCACTCATGTCCTATAACCCCCACACCCCTCACAAATCCCACCTCCTTCTCAGAATGCACGGCGTGGCGCTTGGCCAGCTTCTCCAGCTCGATGTAGGCGTTGTTGGCCTGCGTCTCCACCTCCTTCTGCAGCTTGAGCCGGTGTTCGTCCATCTCGGCCTTCAGCTTGTTCTCCAGGGCGATCAGCTGCTTCTGGTGCTGCCGCCGCATGCGCTTGTAGCCCGACATCTGCTCCCGCAGCTCGCTCTCCTGCTCATGCTCGTGGATCTGCTTGGTCACCTGTGGAGAAGGAGAAGTTAGGAGATGTGAACGTCCCGATATTGGATTTCTAATCAGACCGTAAAAAAAAAAAAAATCAAATTATAGAACAAATACACAGCGGTTATTAAAAAATAGTGTGCATCCAAAAAGCAACTTTTAGCATGCCCCCTGTCCCTTTTCAATTTGATAGATCCATGTATTTGTTTCATCTTTTCCAAGACAAACTGAAAACAGAATTCACTCAAAACTGTAAAGCAGTGATGGGAAACTAGAACCTTAAAAAAAAGAAATGCTGTGAGATCCTTGAGCCACTAGAGCCCAACAAAAGCCCTTTTATCTGACCATCGCACATACACAGCTACACAGCCACGGCATAGATCGCACAACCACAAAAGGATCGAAAATGTGTTCAAGTCAGATGGAGCAAAAAAAAAAAAGTTACAAGACAATTTTTTAACATTTACATCATTAAATTGAATCTAAGACGAGGACCATACTGACAGGTCTTATAGCAATGTCACCCATCTTTTTCTTTTTTTTTTGGAGCAAATCCTGACACACCAACCTGAGGACAGAAAGGGTTCTCCACGTCTAGGTAGTACTCGCTCCGCATCTTCTCATAACTTCCACCTGAACTCCTCAGGCCAAACATGATGGCGACTTTAGCCAAGTGCACCAGCATCCAGGAACCTTGTGCAGCATCCTATGCCCGACAGAACCCTGCCTGCGCTCCGATGCCACCCCGAGACCCACCCTTACTGGACGACGACGACCCCCCACCTCCCTTCTGCCTGGTTCGTGCCCTGGGCACGCAGCGGCCAAGGCAGGCGTGTGAACTGTGAATGAGGCAGGCCGACCGCGCGGGCCAACAAGAGCACAGAGCGCCCCTTTAGTTGGGCTAACGCTAAGCGGCGGACAGCAGGTGGGTCACATGAATACCTCATTGAGAAAGAGTGAGAGAAGTTGGAGAGGAGGAGGGGGGGGGGGGGGGGGGGAGTAAGGGAGGGGGAGGCCGGGACATGTGGGGGGGTGGGGGGGAGAGAAACAGCAGATAGAGAGAGACTGGGAAAGAGTTCTAGGAAAAAATGGAAATAATAAGATGTAAAATAAGGGAATCTAGAGGAGAAAATAGGAGGTTGAGCTCCCCCCCCCCACTCCTTAATCTGTGCTGAATCAATACCCCACTGTAACAGCAGCTCTCAATCCCAGTCACTTGTTCCGCTGCCCCCCTGCATGCTGCCACAAAGAGCCAAGTCACGTCATGTGACGGCCTCTTTCACACAAGGCTCAGGGAGGGAAAAGGAGATCATATTCAGGGCGAGGAAGGGGGGGGGGGGCATGCAGGCTAAAGGTGAATATTCCAGTGAGATTAGTAGGAATTAAGCAGCTGAACTTGAGTTATTCTGCTTATGTTGCAGTTCAAGGTGGTCTTAATGTTGTACTGAACGGACACGGCTTGTTGAATAGAGGAAACGCTGTGCTGGTGGTTGCTGATGTGACTGATCTGTGTAATAACAAATAAGTAGGGCAGCACTCGTTTGATCAAATTATTAACAATATTCCACTTCGACACACGGGCGGTTTGAGCTCTGTGTGTTCACCAGGTGTCCGATGAGCTCTGCTCCTCAATAACGCGTCCTAATAAAAGGGCTTTGAGAAATGTCGCACAATGTAATATTCATCTTGCTTCTGATTTGAGTACGAAGCCTTTAAAAGAGCAGGTCAAGGCTGTTTTTGGTGTTGCAAAGAAGGCATTAAATTTGCTAAAAATGGATGACGCTGTGCAGAACATAAAATATTGTTAACTAATTAAATGAACTGTCGTGAAATATGATACGAGTGAACAGCTCTTTTATGTACGCAGTTCATATTTTATTGGAGTAGAAGAAAAGTATTTATTCTACCAAAAAGACTCAACACTGTTCTTCCTAATTACACTGGCCAATGTTTAACGCCTGAACTGTTCCTTTGTTAGGAACGAGATGGAAGAAGAAGACATGGTTGTGCTTTGAATGTTGCCACGTGTGTAAAATGAAGTAGTTTGGCTAAAGAGGGGAAGCAAAGAGCCTTCATAGACATTTCTATATGTGTTTTCCTTTAGATGCACAAATCTTTGGGCCTCAAAAGCAAAGCAAATGCAAAAGAGCATCTGGTTTACCCACAACCCTTTGACATTTACATATGAAATAAGTCTTGAATATTTCCTGCTGTATAATTTCATAGCAGGTATAAATAAAGCACATGGCTGTTCTGTTGTTGACGCGCTGATAGTTTTATATAACCCGCAACCGCGAGCTGCAGACGAGTCAAACATCTTACAACGCTGTCGTCTCTCACAACTCTTCCCCATGGTCTCTCTCTCCCTCTCTCTCTCAGATTTCAATCTGCACTGCTCTTTTGTCTCTCCTGTTTGTTTGTCCGTCCGTCCTTCTCACCCCCCCCCCGATATTTGCCGTCGGTGTCCTCCACCCCGACTTTACCTCCTGCAGCCACCGCGCTCTCTCATTCATTCGCTCTTTAATCTCCCTCCATCACTATGATTTCCTCCTTTGTCTTTTGGATGTGTGAGCAAATAAATATCTCAGTCGTGAATTTGCATACTTGCTTTTGAGGACGCAACTTATTACTGGTGGTGGTGTTTTTTTAAAAATATTTATTTTTATCAATTCGTTCCTCCCTCTCTCCCTCTCTCTCTCTCTCGATCCATCACCCTTCACCATCTGGACCCCCCATTCTTCTCTCTCCCTCTCTCTTTTGTCTACCTGCTGATTCCAGTCTCGGCGAGTCGAGGCCAATCTGAGGACGCCTGCGCCTCGGAAGAGAAAGATGATGTCATCCTTCTCTCTCAGCGCCGGCGGGCAGGACCGGTGCTATCGCACCACGCAGATACCATGGCTTACGCGATGCCGCCGCTTTTCAAGACAGGCAGCCTCAGTTACACAGAGCTGCCGACACAGTGCGGGGCCACCTCAGCTGCTTACACCTGAGGTATTTCAGTTTGACTTGAATCCAACTTATACAATTGTTTTAAAGCAGGAATGAATAAGTTGGAAGTCTGTGGTGTGCCGAGCATATTTCTATTACGTTAAAGTGATTCATGAGGAGTTGGAAGGAGGGAAGGATTACTTTTCTTCTTAAGTTAAATTAATGTGAGTAGAGGACACACAAATGAAAAATATATATTTAATAAATAAAATATTTCTAATAATCATAAGATTATATGTCAAAAATAATTAGATAAATCACAATCATGGGCTAGAAACCTTATGATCATATTGCATATAGCAGTCATAATGATGAGAAGAAATTAAATTATAAAAATGATCTTAAATGAAGGTTGTTAAAGTGGCAGTAAATTTGCTCCACAAAGTTGCACTGTTTTTTTTCCAGACTTTGCTGTATGGTTTGCTTTATTACATTATTATTGAGGCCTCTAAAAATTCCCATCAAACAAAAAAAAAAAAAAAAAAAAATCAACTCTGTAGTCTCTACTGGTACAGAAACAACCAGAGATGAGTGGTCGCAAGAAGACATTGCTTAGCTTTACAGGCAGGGGTCACAGGTCAACAAGGTTGGGAACCACTGCTTTAGAGACTTCTGAGGACGATGATGAGAACGTGTCCCTCAGAGAGACACTGACACACAGCTACCCATGTTTAGCTAGGCGTCCACAGAAGGAAAAGCTCAGCATTAGTGTAGAAATGCAAGGTACATCATCAACAGATGCAATCGGACGAATTCTTTGCATTCATTGTCTCATTTAGGAATTTTAGAGGGTCTGTTTTTTGGGGACTGTGGCATGTTTTTATTTCCAAACCTCGAATGTGAAAAGGTGTACGCTGGAATTGCAGCTCCTATGGATGATGCCTGTAAGATTAACAAAAAAGCAATTTCCAGTGGTATGAGAATACAGATGAAGGCGACCTGTTGTCATAATAAAAAAAAAAA